CCTATAATTATGCTGAATAATACTAGAACCTATTCGCTGCCGGGTGACAATTATTCTCATTGTTTTACCTGCTTTCGATCTTTGTGACGAACAATGTCTTACGGACAATTAGGAAAACAACTCTGCGGCGTCAGGTGACGCGACAACAAAGGTAAATAGCTCCCGAAAAAGAAATCTCATTTTTCTTCTCGAAATGACATACTACTATGAGGGAGTTATACGTTGACGGTGTGGTCGGGTGGTACTTTGTCAGTGTTGGTCGGGTCATTCGATGGAGCCTATTTTTACGTGCACTCGCAACGTAGAGAACCCATCTGCTAGCCAGATACAGGCAAGCCGGAATAGTTCGTAATTTTTTTAATATTTCACAATATTCCGAAAAACATTAGAAGCCAACGTTTTTTTTTAATTTTGTGTAGTTTCTGCATCAATAGCGGTCATATCGCCAGAGTTTTGGATATTAAGGAATCTGTACATATAACACATAATCAGACATTGCCTCGAAAATTAATTAATGAAATCGGTAGATATTCATATTTTTCGTTGACGTTATTAGATACAGAAAAAATGACGAAATACATTTTAGCAATCAGAATGGTAATCATTTTATAAGTCCACTGATTAATGCCGTACTGTTAGGAAGGTCCTGATTATAAGAGGTAGTATAAAGGGCATTTCTTATTTCTCCTCATTTCGGTTTAATGCTGATTTAAACAGACGATTTTCATTATTAAAAAATACAACGACCACATTTTTGAGGTTACTGGAGAACATCTAGACCTTAAAAAAACCCTGAGGATTAACACATTGCAAATTACATATAAGAGGCTGTAGGGGAACAAAAGAGCGATAATACTTCATATATTTATGTTGGTGCTACATCCGCCGTACTACAAGTCTGTTATTTTCATGTTTGTTAAAAATTCATTTCGTTGTAGTTTTGTACGGACACTTTTACTTGTAAGCGTTTTGTTAGTGATACAGTCACTTATTGTTCATTCACGAACTGTGATAAAACTATGATTACCATATGCTGCTAGCCACAGGGAAAGAGACATAATCAAACACAGCACTGCTGGAGCAATATCGAAATGCCTGGCAGAAATGATGTTTCATTACTCAATGCGTTTCAACATTTGACTTTCGCTATGTGGACGTAAAACTGTCGTGCTGAAAATTCGTGCGTTGCTTCAACAAGTGGAAAACTTGAATCCCTTTGTTTTGAGTGTCAAATTGACGTCGGAGTGAGCTAGTCTTCGCAAATCAGTACCCGCTCGCCTTTTAATTAATGAATACGTACGTGACTTATTATTGGCACATTACAAAAGTGTACTTTGACTGTTTTCGTCTTTGACGCATGACTTCCGTGGTTGCATGTGTAACTGTAATAGCCGTGTATCCTATAATAGTTTCAGTAACGTAGTTTAGACATAATGTCTAATGTCTTTAGACATAATGTCTCATCGCATTATCTCGAAGACTCGAACATGTGCAACGCGAAGCTTTTCCTTGTTAAGAAAATCGCGAATCCGTTTAGCCATTCTAGGTCGAAATGTCACTATTGATCTAATTTCCACATGTTAGTAAGGTTGCCCTTGTGGCCTATCAAGCTTATAGAGCGCCATATTCCAATATATAGACAGTGTACTCTTGCAAGATGACTCAACAAAAACTAATTCACGAAAACTAACACCGAAAGTTCTTGTCTTCTCAAGATATCTCTCAAGCGGACGACACCAAGAGCAACGATGACATTGACGACACCAAGGACAACGATGACGATGACGATGACGATGACGATGACGATGACGATGACGATGACGATGACGATGACGATGACGATGACGATGACGATGACGATGACGA